TCATTCTAATAATAATAATAATAATAATAATAATAATAATAATAAAAATAATAATAATCCTCTCTTGATGAAGAATGACCACCTAGTAAGCAAACACAATTAGACGTTGTACAAGGTCTTCCCACTAGCAGGATATGCGTGAAATAGATCACTACCGTGCCAGATTCAGACTCGTCAATACGAGACTCGCATCGCTCGACCTATCCGTGCCTACTGATGAGTGCTCATTACAATTCCTATAGGTGACATTGGAGGGGCAATGGGATTGCTTGCTGGTGCTAGCATTCTTACCATTTTTGAATTTGTCAGCTATTGTCTCACGTCATGCCAGAAGTGGGTGCATCGAAGGAAAACTCTGCCAACGCCATGAATGACGATGTAATAGAGCGCCATTGGGAGTGAATTTATTTATGATTAATGTGTTTAGTAGTTTGTTATTGTCGTTCGCTCTTCTATTATAGTTGCTTATTTATTTATTTGTACATAAGTTAGATCATCCACTTTTTCTGTTCTCACTGTTATTATTCTTATTGTTAATCCGACAACGTTATCGAACAACGTTAGGTTAATCGAACGATGTTATTGATCTCGCTGTTCGTACTGTTAATCCGTTCATACGGTTATTAGCTAACATAATATAGGCTATAATATTTTTCTATTCGACGCCGCTGGCCTATAGACAACTATGTAAGCCTATATTTTCATAAATCTATAACATTAAAGTTATCTATCACATTTATATTTATGTATTTAAGTGTATTGATCTTGTGATTATTCATCTTAAAGTTTAATTCATGGTTTCTATCATTTTGGTTTGCTAATCTGTAGTTCTGTGACTTGTCGTAAAACGCAATAATGCTTTAATCTGTTGTGTGCTTAGTTAAACTTGACTTCTGTTAATCGTTACATTAACTCACAAGATCACACAAAAATGTTACAGTCGTTTACATAGTGCAATGCCCCGTTTATACTGTCACTTGTGATGGAATATTTGTCGCATATGTCACAATACTAACCATAGAATCTTAGAGTAGTTATAGAAAAATTGAATGGTTACGATGTATATGTATTTTACAATTAGAACAGGAAACGTCTATATTGATGAATGCGCACTAATTCAACACCAAGTAGGTATTAATAGTTTTCCCGTGATTTTCATGTACTCGCTTGTTCTAATCAAAACCTAATTAAATTAATATAATATTCACCGTAAACAAACTTAATAATAGAAATAATAACAATGAGTGATAAAATGTTGTGTTTATAAACAATTAACTCGCTAATAAAATGTTTTCCTTTTGAAAATTTATGTCTGTTATAATTAAAATAAAGTGTAAGCAAACACACGGAGACGCACACGCACAGGCCCGCACACCCACGCATACGTACGCAGTGACGCACACCCACGCGCTCACCCGATGAAAGCAAGCAATCCCACGTTTCCATCGTCACCACCAAAACAGAAACGGCTGCGCAATCCTTCCGCATACGAACGAACATCTACCAACAGTTAGACGCCTATCGATTTCTAACACCAACTTATAGGTACGCATCGGGATGCCAGCCATTAATAATACATCGTCCACCTGTCGCCCATGGTGACGCGTTACCTGGCAGATCTGCGTAACCACGTGGCGCCGGTTCAATGGACTTATTATTGCGATACGTACACTTTAAAACATTAATTAAAATACTAAATTTTTTAAATATAAATCACACTTCTATTAAATTATCGTATTATCGCATAGCGATGATTTTTTCCCAGTCAACAAATCCGATATAACCCAATACAATCGTATTAATGTTGGTTGGCAACTTCAGGGGGATATCGTACCACACCAAGTAAATAATATTATCTTCTCGCACATACGTCGATAACACGCCTGTATATATATTACCAAAAATAGGCATCGGTATATACGTGCTATAATACAGCGTATTATAAACAATAGGTAGGATACTACGCTTAAAAGCAGCGCACGCGACAGTAATGTGTAACAAAACCGCGTTGACGGGTAAAAGGTCGCTAATGTGCTACGATTGTAACTACCTCGGCCTGGCATTGTTATCGGTTCCAAAGGTTACCTGCGACTGCAGCCCCCTCTGTACGCAGCACCGCGTACTGGTATGCAATACGTGGAAGCGAATGGCACGCTCTGTGCACTCGCTATATGGGCCGCGTACGTGAGTGTATGTGTGTATGTATATGTGTTTGCCTCTGCGTGTGTGTGATCTACGCGTGGTGCAGGTAGGAGGGTGCCAGACTCGACGCTCGAACACGACGAGCTCGCGTGTGATAGACGCATAATCATCGGTGCAACGCTACACTGTGTTGGAATTAGCGGGTAATTTTTACGCATTTAGACTCTCACCCATCTGACGCTTCCTGGAGCGAAGCAACCAAGAAACAGGCGAGTTCACCTTGTGGTATAATGGGTGGCTGTGCGACAGGTGTTTGCGTGTGTGCGTGCGTGCGCGCATGCGTGTGTATGTGTGTGTGTTGAGCGCGTGTGTGTATGTGTGTGTGTTGAGCGTGTGTGTATGTGTGTGTGGGTCACCGTCTGTGTGTGCGTGCGTGCGCGCACGTGTATGTGTGTGTTTGCACGTATGAATGTGTGTGAGTGCGTGCGTGTGTACAGTACATTCGCGCATCAGCGCACACGAGCCAGTTTGATCCCGCACATACGACTAAACGAGTTGTCTGACTCTGCGATGAGACGTAGATAGGTGGGAAGAGAAGACGGCCGGATGTGCGCGCGTAAATAACCACCATAACTTCCTGTACAGTCGGTGAACAGTAGCTAATGTGATCAGCGTTGGTATGTGTGCGTGTGCGTGTGCGGGTGTGTGCGTGTGTGTGTGTGTGTGTGTGTGTGTGTGCGGGTATGATGTGTTGTGGGCGGCGCTCGCGCGCAAGGCGGTAAGCGTGTGTGTGTGTGTGTGTGTGTGTGTGTGTGTGTGTGTGTGTGTGCGCGCGCGTGTGAGTGTGTGTGTGTGTATGTCGGGCACGTGTGCATGTGTTTGTCGGGCAGCGCTTTTGAGTTGGGGGTGCATGGAGAGAAGATGAGCTATTGTCCAGTGACACTTACAAACGGCTCTAAACGATCGAGTAAATGGTGCGTTAAAACTTAGAACACAGACCGCTTTCACGGAGACACTAAATGGCATACATGCCTGTTCGCAGGAGAATTGTCGTCGCTTTTTAAGAATTTCGCTTTCTGTGGCAAACAATTCGCGTGTGTAAAATTGGGGCAGTGGGCTCGGTAGTGTGCGTGGTTAGCCAAGACGCGTCTACTTCCTTTATCGCAAGTTAAAACGTGACGATCCCAACCATGGGAGCAGTGTTCGAGTGTAGGTATATCAGTAAAACTGGACTGGTTTCTTTAGCCGAGTGGCTCGCACTGTACAATACAATCGTCCGTGGATAAACGAGGGCTTTGAGACAAGCTACTTGTGCTGTCAAGATGGCTCGGAAAGCTTGCTGCGAAAAATAAAGTTTTTAATCTCCTTGTTGCCAAAAATGATCGAATCACATTTTCCATGTTTGTAGGTTCGTGGTTACAGTTCGTCAATGTCAGACAAGGTTGTAATTATGGTGTCAGATACCTATAGTTTATTTACATAATCGGTATCACCCCGAATAAGCTATGTATGGCTAGAGATAATCAGGCTATGGATTTCAGATTAAGTTCCGTGTAATAGTAGACGAAGATTATCACACGTTATATTATTATTATTATCATTGACGAATAGTAGGTCTATGCATCATCTATCTATTATCTATGTAGGATATACGACCATGAATATTTATATATATATTAGATATATATATAGATAGATAGAGAGAGAGACAGAGAAAGAAAAAGAGAGCTAAAGAGAGGGGAGAGAGAGCGAGAGAAAGGAGAATGAGATAAGGGGAGAGGAAGTAAACGTATTTTCATGATGCGCCTCAATGTAACAACAATTAGGCGATATTCTCCGTGCGTGTATGCGCGTGAGAGCGTGTCTACATGTGTTTTGCTTGAGGCCTGCGTCCGTTTGTGGTGTGTTTGGCTGGAGTGATAGCGTGGCTGCGCACGTGCGAATATGTGTGAGAGTTTATTTAGTTTTTTTGCTGCTACAAATAATAAAACGTGTGCACCCGTTTCCGGTGCAATTCCGTTGAGATATGTGTATCGTAGTCGCAAGCGCAAGCGCACACACGTGCGCACGTACGCACGCACGTACGCACGCACGTACGCAAGCACGTATGCACGTACGCATGCACGCACGAACGCACGCATGTAGGCACGAATGCTCGCACGCACGCAGCCACGTACACATGCATGCACACAGTTACTATTCGGGAAAATGAATGGATGTGTGCGCGTGCGTGCATGCGTGTGTGCGCGTGCGTGCATGCGTGTGTGCATGGCTAGCTATACATACATATGTATAGACCTGTAGTGGAAGCTGCGCGTAATAACAGCGAGACCTGATTCCGCTTCAAGCTACTTCACATCAGGATGAAGTTATTTGCTCTATTTATGCGGAGGTCAACACTCGAGTCGTTTTCCACATAGCACTTTCCATCACAAAACAGCACGTGCGTCACTGCAGCCTGCAGCACACCGCTGTCACTGAGAGACGGGGGCGTGCAGTGCGCGACATGCGCCGTTAGCCATTCTTCGTTACCACGTAGCGCATCATGTAAATCTGGTGCGGGAAAACTAGCGCACTGTTATACGCATATAGTTAAAGCCGCACAATGCGCATCCAAACGCTAATTTCTTCATTACTAGACTAGCAAATACTTCGTGTCATGCATAATCATACTACCTTATGGCAAAATAAACTCTAGTTCCTCCCATTTGACTGCGCGTTCCCAACAAGAAAGAGGTGCGAAATCAGGTAATCAGGCGCCAACGCTAACTTGTTTCAAACAACATAACATCGAAGTGGTGACGTGACGTCAGATGTTTTTATCTTTGCTGCGCCCGTACCGCTGTACCGCGGCACCGCTGCACGGTTGCTTGGAGATTGGGGAACTGTCAACAACATCGGAGGTATTTTCAAAATACCTTTTATAAGACAACGCGCAGTGAAATGGGAGGAACTAGAGTTTATTTTGCCATAAGGTAGTATGATTATGCATGACACGAAGTATTTGCTAGTCTAGTACTGAAGAAATTAGCGTTTGGATGCGCATTGTGCGGCTTTAACTTTATGCACAATACGTAATTTAAGTTAATCGCGGGCTCCATCGCTACCTATTTGCCATTATAAGATTATGATTGGCGTAGACCTGTTATCGCCGCGAGTGCGAAATTGAGAAGTCATCCACCGTGCTGGTACACACCGCGTATAATGAGATGCGATGTGACGGACGTTTTGCTCGCATTGCAGATAGTTGCGAAAGGAGCCATTCTCTCGCCAGCTGTCGCTCTGAGGAGGTGCGAAACAGATGTCGCCCTCTCTTGATGGAGTGAGACAGCGGTAGAACCGCCTTCACAATCTACGTGCCAACCGTCAAGTCGGCAGTGACGTCGCCTCACGCCTGCCACGTCGTCTGCGCGCACGTAGCTCTCGCGTGATCTCGCGAGATCCATCACCGACATAATAATCCCACCCGTCTTATCGTCGGCCTGCGTGCGTCCAATTCTCGCGAGATAGGTCGCCGGCGAAATCCCCCCCCCCGCCGCGCCTCATCGTCGTCCACGTCGCCTGCATGCGTTTAACTCTCGCGTGATCTCGCGAGATCTCGTCCTGCGGTATCGAGCGCGGTAGTTAGCGGGCGGCGTGAGTGAGTGAGCGAGTCTCAGTAACGCGAAGCTGCTGCAGCGGTCGTCGTCGTCGTCGTCATGGTGCTGGGATCGAGAGTGCTGCGACGCTCGTGTCGCAATCCGTGCGTGCTGTTCGCCTTCTATACGGCGCTCGTGCTCGTCGTCGTCATGTTCGTCATCAAACTGCCGCGAGACTCGTCTCCGAGCAGACCCGACGTCGTCGTCATGCAGCGAGGCGAGAAGAACTCACGGCTGGCCGCCGACAGCATAGCGGCGGCGTACGACAGCGCCGCCGACAACCACCCGGCGAAACCCGCCGACGTCAGGCAACCGGTCGGCGGCGGCGGCGAGAACGAGAAAGTGGCCGACGATCAGGTGCCAAAGCCGAAAAGCGCGGAGAAGGTGGAGGAAGAGAAAGAGGAGATGGAAGCAGAAAAGGAGAGTGTGAAGCATGTGATCGATGCCCCTCTGGCCAAGCCGTTTGAACCGGTCGGGCCACGAACCGGGAAATACGGCAATAAGACGTTAATAATTGAGTGAGTATAAGTATATGGCTTTGTTAGTTTACCTGTGGTGCGCGGACGCGTCTGCCACTAACCTAATGACTTTGGTTGATCCAAATAATTTATCGCGCCCGCGTCGTATAGAGAATGACTATAAATGGGTTTTATCTCCGAATAAGGGCCAGTCACCCGGGTTAGAAACAGTTTAGGTTCAAATGTATTGAATTTGTTTACTTGAATCGCAGTGATTATAGAAGGAGCCTTGTAGCTTATATAGACGGAAAGTGTAGATTATGGTGAGAACCTGGTCTCTCTCCCATTCTCTCTCCCCCCCCCCCCTCTCTCTCTCTCTCTCGCTCTCTCTCTCTCTCTCTCTCTCTC